ATCCTCCTAACTTCAAATCTAAAATCCCGTCCTGTGGTAAGGCCTGAAGTCTAGATTTCAACTTTTGTTTTTCGCGACCATTTATAAAACCCTTACGCGCAAGTAAGTAATATATAAACCAGAAATTTAAGGCATGAGAAAGGAATAAAATGCAGAAGTAAACTGATTACAGAACAATAAATGCAAAAAAGTAGCAATATTCTCCAACAACGCCAGGTGTCTCAGTGTGATTTACGAGTGACAAAGCTGGAAGATAAGGTGATGACGCTCAACACACACTGTTTAATCTTCAAGTAGCAACATGCACCGTTGAATCGCAGTGCTTCTGCATACAGAATCAATGAGCCAATAATTATTTAAGGAGAAATAAAAAGTGTCTGCGCGGATATCAAAAAGGCTCAAAACGGACAATGCAGCATTGGTCAAAACAACTATAGAATGAAGTAAGAAAATAACGTGGCCGTCGGTTGCACCAATTATTAATCACTCTGGTAAAGTGATAGTCGTCCTAAACATCAAATATCAAATAAGTATTAGCTTTATCTATATAAGTCGATTTAAACAAGCCTGTAATGTTCAAACGTAATGAGCTTCACACAAACAACCAGTGAGAGCTTGAAATTTTGGACATAAAAAAAACTTACTGCGTTTCGGCAAGTTCTTGACCTGGAAGTCGAACTGCGCGTCCAGTACTCGAAGAAGACCGTCGAAAAAGTGAGATCAAATCAACCTGTAAATACGAAAAAAATTTTTTTTGGACGAGTAAGCAGTTTTTTCGTGGTCAGTTATTCATCCTCAGCGAAGTGGTACAGAGAAAAAGAAATAGGCATTTTGTTTGGATTTGTGTCCTAGAGCTCAAGCGGCCAAGTATTTTCCATTTTACCACCCATTTTACAGCAAAATATCACTCTTTTCCGTTTGCGCAACTTCGATAAAACTGCAAAATCTCACCTTTTGTAAAAAAAGGAGAGCTTGGAAGCGTACAAATTTCAAAAATTTTTGCATAATTGACTTTTTCTCTGAGTTAACTCAGCAGAAGAAGACGGCTTTGCGTAAACTCCACGTTCCTCTCTAAAGTTAGTCTTATCAGATCATCGAATTATTGGACTGAAGGATTCGGAATCACAGAGAGTTAAACCTCAGCAATTGATCTAACACTGCTGGGATACTTCCGTTTTTTGTGGATATGTGCGGCTCCCAGCCGAGCTAGCAGCTGACTTCCCATTCTGCTGTCGGCCAGCCTATCCCGGTGCTGCCTCAGACAGAAAACCATGAACTGTGGTTTTCAAATAGTTTTATTCGTCCATCATTTTCTATGCTTTTTTATAGACTGTTCATTTGTGCAAGTCACGTCGTTAATTTTGCTATTATAAATGCTTTTTTACAATCTTCTAACCGGCAAGTTACTTCACAGTGTTCTAGGATTAACCGTTTTCGGGACAAGGTGGTGACGCTTACGACGTCTTATAAACTTTTTAGAGGAGCGAAGGCACTTGGAAATACTTAAGAATAGCAAGTACTAGTAATATTCACAAGCTGGCAGTGACATCGGTGGCTTCCTCTTCCATGAGCTTCGACAGGCTCAAGAAACAGTAAAAAATTAACTGCAGAATTATTACAAATGGCGCCAATAGCTGAAAAATTACGAGAACAGATGAGCGGCGTGACAGCCGAATAGCGGATGATTCGTCGTCCGTGGATTCTGGCGCAAAAATACGTTCAGCCGATTGGCTGAGCGCAGCACGTTCTTCCGAATCCAGATCCTCATTTTCCTCATTTCTGAACTTCCGCAACGTTCGATAATAAAAGTTTCGACCGGTCTCTAAGACTTCAACAAAGAAGCGACGCATGGAGCGGCGACTTTTGAAATTGTGGTTTTACAAATTTGCGAAACGCGCCAACTAATTGATGCGGTCGATCTGAAAAATACTGAGGCAAGTGTGCAAAGTTAATTATGATACGAAGCTGCAGTTCTACTAAGGTGAACAGACAGAAGACAAGCTAAGAAGGTATTCTTCAGAAAACTTGAAGCGTTAGATCAAGAAACGCAAAATGGAACACAGCGTTACATTATTGAATCGGTAATAAAATACTCCATTTAAGTATCAGTATATTCTCTTATTATGTTCAAAGAATATTTTGTATATCTAATCTTCCCGCCATAACAGACGGTTGAAAAAAGTATGGATTTCGGAAGGACGAATTCATGCAGAACTAGTGGTTAAACCTTGAGGTTATAAGTCGAAAGCAAAGAAACAATTATTTTTTCGACACCACTAACTTACTAGTTGGAGGGCAAGACGCAATGGATTTCTTTTCTTTTTTTTCCATAACCCCAGTGCGGAGGATCAAGCAAGGTTTAGCTATCAACTTTACAACTATTGTTTTCATTTATCGACTGTTAGATCAACCAAATATTGATTACAATTTTTTCAGTTCAAACTCAACAATTTTTTGACTTAAAATTTGAATTTGAAAATCAAATCACGGGTCTGTCCTCAGAAAAGCTAGTTTCAAATTTTGTTTTAGGTCGTAGCCGTCAATGATGCAAGGACTGAATAAAAGAATTATGAGCTTATGGATTGTTTAATCGTGGAGCTGAGCATCAGCCAAGAGCTGAACTGAAGTCAAAGGTCGGGGTGGAGAATATTTTGGAACTTGTTTTCAAGTTCTACTCCATTTATTAAATGCTGTTCCAATTCGTGTGCAGGAGTGCAAACCTACTGGCTTGCATTTCGATCCCTGTTTACCAGTAAAGCTAGCGATTCCTTAATTAAACGGCGACTGTGTTTCACAATTTCAAGGCCAAGCTTCTTGAGTATCGACGCAAAATTAACCGGGTCTCATAACAAAGCCCAACCTCGGAGAAATAAGTCAAAGGGCGTAAAAGAGTACAAATTTATAGCAGTTTCCTTATTTGCATTT